AGTAATTCACACAATTTACTTATGGTGCCTACTGTTCGCTTGACTCAATTATCTATCTCTTCAATCTATCTGCATATCTCTCTATCACTGACTTTATTAGCTGGACTTATATACTAAAAAAAGAGTGCACCTGGCAAACACTCGGACATTTGCGGGGTTCCTCGATAATTCATGATCCTTCTAGAAACTCCAACGCGCATGCTCCCAGCATTGCGTGACTTTTGCTGTTGTAACAATACTTATACAACACATATTTATAACTAATTCTGAGGTCAAGGACCTTTAAACAGCATTTATATTTACCAAACACCTCATTGAAAACAATTTTATGAGCATTTTAAAGCAGCCCTGTACAATTTAAAATATTTTGCTTTTTCTACGTTTTATTCACCACCCCTCCAATTAGTAAGAAATTAAACGTAAGTTACTCACTATAAAATCATCATTGCTCAGACAAACTATTATTTTTATAGCCTTCAATTGTGTTTGGTCACAGAGCTATCAAATAGAAAAATCAGACCCCTCCTGTCACATCCTTTCTTTCAGTATTTGTTCTTCCTTACATTTAATTATATACTACCTATAAACAATAGAAAGCAAAGGTTTTCATCTATCAAATGACATATTGCATAACATTGTATTCTGATCAGATAAGCATCAGTTTCATTTATAATACACAGTTCATTCCTATGGGAAAGTTAATGGCTAGCTTTGATTAATTTGTAACGGCTCTTGTTACATAGTTAGAAAGCCAGAAAATTTTGAGAGTTAAGGAAAATTGTCTAATTTTTGCATGTTATTAGACTATGTTTTTTGGTGCATTATGTAATTAAATAAAAAATTTAGTGCATTACTATTAGTATAAAAAAAAGAAAGTAGGGTTAAGTCTCATCAACAATCAAAAAATATGATTTTTTTGGATGTGAAAGACTTATAATGTTAACTGAAAGATATACATACTATATTGAAAGTTAAAAGTATTAAATCTATAAAGACTTTAAACGAGCAGAAAGAGGTCATGTGGTCAGTCAAATTGACTGAGTCCGTGTTGAGAAAGTTAAGCTGAACCAAGTAAAAACTATGAACGATGTATGTGCAGGTAAATTTTACGACGTGTTCCTCAAAAAGGCAACAATGTAAGTGAGCAACAACATATATCGTGACGATGTATAAGAAAGACCCCCTGTATGTGGTACAGTTGCTAGTCTTTTCAAAATTATCTTTTTTCTTCCATCATTGGCCTGTTTTCAGATAAATGAACTCCACATTTTGAAGCTGTAAGTGTACTGTAAGAGTGACCGTAAAATCACTCTTTAGTGAGGCAAAGAATTGGTGGTTTCTATTGAGTAGGAATGATTTATATGCAAATAGCCCTCTGTAGCTTTCCTCGAAATTCTAAAATCAACTCTTCCATCGTAAAAAGATTTGTAGCTTGAAAGAAAAATAGTTTAATATATATATATATATATATTGTTTTTGTGGAGTGTATATTGTGGTGCAGCAGAAACTTGTTTCCTTCTGTGTTTACTTAAATGTTAATTTCTACACTACTTTTTATTAGCTTGTTATATGACAGAAAAACAAAAAGTTTAAAATGTTTAATATCACACTAAACATGTTATTTAGTTGTGTATAAATGATTAATTTTAACATCTTACTTTCAGTTTTCTAAACTGCTTTATTTGAATCATTTTATCTGTGAATTTTTTAATCTTTTTGCCTAGAAAGTTGTTATTTAAGCTGTCAGTTGATTCAATATTAATTGTTTTACCTGTAAATACCTTATTTTTAGATATGTTAGTTTTGGTTTTAAAATTGAACATTAAAATGCTTTTGAAAGAAATATTTTTTGTTTCGATATGAGTATGGTAATGAAAAAGAATTACTCATTATAGTTAGTTATTTTTGTAAGCTGCAAAAGCAAATTCAACTGGTAATATTTCGTGATTTGTTCTACTTAAGGTTACATCTTGATGTGTGAAGTGTACATATGTGATGTACTGTACCTAATTATTTTGTAACTGAAAATAATCTGTTTTACAATCAATCAATTTCTGTTTCATTATGGCAAGCTGAAATAAAAATGTATTTGAAATATATAATATATATATATATATCATGAATACTAAAAACATTATGAACAATGCATGTTTTATCTGGATATGTTTCCATTTTGATTGCCAGATACAAAATAAAACACTTCATTAGTCTTGGATATTTTTTTACCTTCATCACTGAGTCAAGGAATGTCAAATCACAAATTTGGTTTAGTGAGATAATCTGCTTTGCAAATTATTACATAAATGTAGCTTTTTGTTGTAAATATATATACACCTTAACAAGTATTTAGAATGCTCACTGTTATGCCTTTTATTGCACTTATTAATGAATAACACTAAACATTTGTAAGAAATAATGTTTTTATTACATGATGGGATTAATCATCATAATACAACATTTCACTGTAAAGAATGTTATCTACTTTTGTTTAACTATAGTAGTAAAAACATACAGGTTAATTTTGATAATTTTATTTTAATATCTCAGTATTCATCTTTTTGTAGGCAAGTTCGTAGAGCCATGTAATAACACTTGCATTTGTGAGCAAAGTATTTTTGGGTGCTTTTTCTTTATTTAGGTTCGTTAATTCTTTGGTCTACTATGGGCTTTCAATGAATGCTGGCAACCTTGGAGGTGATGTCTATGTAAATTTTGTTGCTCTTGCAGCTGTTGAGATTCCTGCTGTTATATTAGGAACACTGATACTTTCCTGTGTTGGCCGAAAAACTTTACTTTCAGCAATGTTGCTACTTGGAGGACTATGCTGTGTTGTAAATCCTTTCATCCCTACAGGTGAGTAAATTACAGCATTATACTTGCACATTCATTTGTTATGTTATTTTCAGTGTAGATTTTAAATCTAGTTTCATTGTGTAAGCATATTCCAAATCGAAAAATAAGTACAATACGCTTAATAGAAAAAATAGAAAAGAATAATAATATGAAAGTATTCAGTTTCATAAAGAAAATATGCATAAAATTACTTGAGTGTGGATCATAAATATGTTATGAAACAATACATAAATTAATTGATATTTACTTCATTAAATTTTATGCTGATTTAAACCTATTTTAATGTTATAATATGCCCAAAAATGTTTTTACATTTTTATTTTATGTATAAACCATAGATAGATCTTCTTGTTCTTCTATATGAGTGTATCCATTTCATTAAAACTGATTTCATATTTTTATTACAAAACAATAATCTTATTTCATTTGTCATATTATTATGAAATGTTGGTGCTTAATATAGATAACTGTTTCTAAATATTACTTTATTTAGTTTTCATTACCCATGTTCAACAGCTCTTGTTTAATATATTGATTTTATTTTTTGCCAGCTTTGAATAATTTTACTGAATCTATATAATGTTTTGAAAACATATAATTTATGTAGTGGTAGTATATTTAAATTTTGAAAATGATATTTTGTATGAACATACTTTGGCAATGATAATATTTTTTGTAACTGCATTAAAACTCTTAATCTCTTAAGGTGATACCCTTTTGTAGAATTGAATCAAACTAAGCATAATAAATGTTTTTCATTTCTTTCTAACATAAGTAATTTCTTGTATAGTATACTCTTACTGCTGATATCTTTTTTCTCTATTAATTTAATGTGTTCTTTCAAATTTAGTCTATAATTTAATACTACTCCAAAATACTTAATACTTTTTGATTTTTGTAGAACTGAATTAATATTCATATTGTTCTTGATAGATGAATATTTACAAATATTTGATTTTGATTCTTATACAATTTTTTCTTCACCTTCTTCCTCAATTCTGTACTTAATCTTCACTTCTCTGTATCACATGATCTGAATTTCCCATTTTAGAATTTTCTTTCTACTCTTCTTTTCACACTTATAGTATAGATATTGGGAAGCCAGAATATAAATTTCTAGTCTTCAAGCTTTCTTGTTTTAGTTAGAAAAAACAAAAGGCCAATCCACATGCCATGCCTCTCATATCACATCCTGTGTTTCAAAAAACTTCAGTAATTCTCTATGACATTTGCTATTAGATTATTCATTTTTCATTTTTTGCCATTCTATTTTTCGGCTCTGAGTGGAAAAAATTATTTTTTGATTTGTTAATTGCCTAGTAAGCTTTAGTTATGAAGCCAGTTGAATTGCAGTTGTTTTAGGATTTTATTTTGGTTGGTATACATTTTTTAATCTAACTTGTATATTTGAAAGCTCCAACAATTTTTGTTTGAAGAACTAACTCAGTGGAAAAAAAAGTGAGGCCTAGCTGAGTTATGTTTTGCAGTTACAAATAATACATGGGTCACATACTTAGCTCGTGGGGTTTATGATTTGTGGCTAATTATCTCGTGCTGTGTTTAGCACAATAATGAAACCATATATTTACAGAAACAGAAAATAGATGTGAAAAGGCTAACATACAAGATGGAAAAAAGTATTTTTATTCTTAACATGAAAATCACCTTATGATCAGACTGATTCAGTAAATTCATAAACAAATCCTTATTGAGAATTCTGGTACTTACTGTGCAAGAAACTTTTCACAGTTACTAAAAGGTTGCCAAATTTCATGTAGGTACACATAGTAAATTAAGAATTATAGTAAACATTACTTCAATACAGTGTCAATCCATGGAACTGACCTAATACACATAAGTTTAATATGATAAACAGACCTCTTCAGATAAAATAAGTTAGGATTGAGTTACTTTTTAATGTAAACTGTTCTACATGAAAATGTATCATATATGTAAAGAAATATAAATACTGTAACAAGCTGAAAATACAATTAATAACATTCCACAAATTAATAGAAACTTCCACACGATTATTCAACTAAAACTACTGAACTTTCTTTCATGGGACAAAATAGTTTGTAATATTTTCAAACAACATTTTGTATAAAGTTAATAAGCTTATAACCCTAAAAAACATGCAAATAAGTACTTTTTAAAAGCACGAATATTTTCATCCATTGGCCTTATCAGGTGTCAATTAATTGTATACATCTTTCGTTGTTGGAAAGAAATTTATTTTTAAAAACATATTCAAGAATACACAAGATTTGTCTTGTACTACATTAGAGCTCACTAGATGAAGTACTTATTTTGACCATTTTTCAAACATGTGAAATTTTTATTTGTCAAACCTTCATAGTGATTAATAAGAATCATGAGACAATCTCCCTAATCACTGGACCATGTCAGCCTAAACCTGAACAAACTTGATTTAATGAAAAATAAGAATAATGAGAAATCATAATGGAAATATTTTTGTTGAATAGAGTTGTTTAAAGATTTGTTTAACAACAAGTAAAAACTTGGAATGGTCTATTCCTTCATTAGGGGTGTGTCAGTGAGATGAAGGAATAGACCATTCCAAGCTTTTACTTGTCGTTGAACAAATGTTTAAACAACTCTATTCAATTATGTACCAGCTGCCAAGTGTCGGCTAATAATACAACGAATTAAATTTTGGCAGGATGCTACAAGTTGTTCAAACACCTATAGACACCTATTTAGTGGCTTAAAGGAGAATTATTTCTTGCTTGCGTGTGCTAAATTTTCTCTCTTATTGTCTGTAAAATGTAAAAAAAAAAAACTTCCATTAGGAAATCCTATGCTTAAAAAAGTGCAATGTTTCACCCATTGTCCAGGATATACAAACAATTAGTAAAGCTTAAGTTCAAAAATTGAAATACAAGCTGAGATGAATACAATTTGTGATTGTCAAAATAATGAGGCTTATTGTTCTATATGTTATAAATAATAGTAGTATTTAGTGAGTAGGTTAAATGATATGGGTGTTGGACCAAGGATTCTGCTACAGTAGATGTCTGTGACTTGTTGGCAGTTAATTTCAAAAATAAGTTAACAGCACACACACACACACACTCTGCTTGTTTTAAAGTAATATATTCAAAACAAGTTAAACGTATATTCAAAAATTCTTTGCACTATATATATCATAGTTGTATCTTAAATACTATACATAGTTCTCTTCTTCTTGTCAAAAGTCCACTTAGGCCTATTCAGTTGCTTTAGAATTTCAGTTCACAAGCCCTACTACCTTTCTCTATTTTTAATTGCACTAGTATTTCATGTGTAATTATAGCATGAATTAGCACAGACATATACTGCTCTTCCAGTAATCATTTAGTTCTCGTACTTCAGATATCGTCTGTTCCTTTTGTCAAAGTGCACTCAGGTAGAACTTGCTTTCACGGAATAAACTATACTTCTTATCTCTTTTTAAAACTGTTAGTTTTCCTTTAACATATTAATTGTTAGGCCTTTCACTCCTACAGCAGTTAACTTTATGTTGAACTTTCCTTGGCTGAACTTTTACTTCCCTTGACTTTACTTTCTCATCTGCTTTGTCTGTCTACTGTTCCAGCTTGTCTCACACTACATATTTATCATTTAATCATGTACTCACCTTCTAGAAATTTCTGTATCGTTGATATAAATAAATTTCACGTGATGTTCGATAGTATCAATATCAATGAATTATAAACACAACTTCCAATTATCATCTTATAAAAAAACTAAACAATCATGAAATATTAACTCAAAACAATTAATTAATACTACCTACACTAAATGGTCTTTTATATCTGACAGTGATAAAGGAGCTAAAATGCTCTAGGAGTAGAGTGGATTTAGTATTTTACAGATATTAATCTAAAAGAAAAGTGTTTATAGAGAGGAATGAAAAGAATGGTTTAATTTGGAAATTGATCAATTAATGCTGGAAAAGTGCTACAAATCTTGGATAAAATGAGAGAAATAAATATAAGTTGTACTGTTTCCCATAGCTTGCTTAGCTTTTTCCTATAACTCAACAGATAATGAAAGAGGATTTAATTTAAATACAATTACGATTTCAGTGAAGAAATTACCATTGACTATGATATAACTGTAGCTCTTCAAATCATGGAGGTACTGAATTTTTCTGGCTTTCTAATTATGCAACAAGAGCCATTACAAATCCATCCAAGCTAGTAGTTATCTTTCCCATGGGAATAAAGCTTGTACTAACAGTGAAACTGACAATTTTCCATTCAGAAAACGTTATACAATAAGTCATTTGATAGATGAAAACCTTGGCTTTCGATGGTTATAGATAATATAGAACTAAATGTAAGAGAGAACTGTTAACAAATCCTAAAAGAGAGGATGTGCCAGGTGTGTGTGGCAAGAGGGGTGTGATTTTTCTATTTGATGGCTATGTAACCAAACAAGATTGAAGGCTTGGAAAATTATGCTTTGTTTTAGCAATGATGATTTTTATAGCAAGTAATTTACATTTAATTTCATACTTATTGGAGGGGTGGTGGATGAAATAGAGAAGATGTGTCACACGAGGGGAATTCAGGATTTTTAAATATTGCTGTATAAAATTAAGAACTTAAAACTGATATGCTATTAAATTATGAATTATTAGCTAAGACTTTATGCTATACTAATTGTTATAACATAAAAAAAAGTAGATTAATAAAATTTTGAATGCAAGTCACTAAAACCTTGTGACATGCGCAGTAAAGGATGCCCATCATGAAAGGGTTAACTCTCTCTCCACAGGCATTCTTTACTGAGTATGTTATGAGATTTTTAGTGAGAGGATGTTGAGGGAATTAATATAGATACAGTTACCCAACTATGTTTTCCACTTCCTCTTGTGGGTGACACACTTCATGAGTTTCTTCCTATTTTGTTGCTATATCCTCAAAAGGGAGCTCGTATTTTTAAATTACTTTGTATACAGAAGTCCCTCCACCATCTTGTCAATGCAGAATTTTAGCTCTTAGTTTTGTGGAGAGGTACGTAGTGTTTCTGATGTTTTTCAGAGTGCATATGCTTCCTTGAAACCCCTTGAAATTGGGAGTGGAACTTCAAGGGCTTGAAAAGGGACCTTCTTTTTTTTGCAAAAGTACTTGAAAATATTATAATATCAGAATATATCAATATATCTAACTTTATTGCATGTTGCAGAGTTGACTGCAGTTTGTATGCAAATGTTCATCACAAAATAACGTACATTTTACAGTAATACCACTATTGTTTTCCCACGAAGAGTTACCAAAGAGTTAATTCACTGGATGTATGGCCCAAGTCACTTGACCAATCATTGTAGCTGGCTGAGTAAACATGTTATGAATGAACACCTGTGAAGTTGCAAATGCTCGAGTTCCACTTGAAAAGTTTGCTTGCCACTTTTTTATTTTTGTATACTGTTATTTTGGGAAAGTGTGTATTTCATGAGGAGTGGAAAGAACAATATAAATGTACGAAGGAAGTGAAACTGATAAATGAAAGGTGTATTGCAAGGCCTGTTAAAAGACTGTAGACATTGGTGCAATGGGAGAGTATGTCTTAAAAGACTCCTATAACGTATGATTTCATGAGGAAAACTTCGGATTCACTTAGTTGCCAGGAATCAGCAGCTTGTACTAGATCGACAGATGTGCAACAGTTTTCTTGTCAGTGATGAAGGGGGATGCATTTTTAAAGACTGAAGTTCAGTGGGTTCTACGTTTGGTATCAAAGCACTATTTCTTCAGATGTCACGATAACAACACAGACTTGTTTGCTAGTATGTACCCTGACAGCAAAGTTGTAAAGTCATACAGCTGTGGATCTGTGAAGGCATAGTATCTGACAACATTTGGTTTTAGTGGCATCATTTCTTGATGTATTGAAGAAAACTGTTAATTCTCCAAAATTGATATGTTTATGTTTTATTCTTTGATGAAAGTTTGAACAAGCATACTCAACAGAAACAGTTGGACATACACGTATGATTCTGTGATGACATCATTAAGACTCTGGACTTTACATCAGAGTTTATTGGTCATGTATCAGCCACTGATGTAGTCTTTGCAATAAAGACTTCCACAACTTCTTTGAGCTTCAAAAATCTTCTGCAGGTTAGCATTGACACTTACTTAAAATATGTGTAATACTCATAACAATATTTGTTACTGGCCTAAAAAACTAAATGAAATATGCATCTCCTTCTCACCCATTAAGATAATATAGTTACTGCTACTGCAAAAATTTGTATATGACTGCTAATTCTGTTTTTCACCTCTTGTCTATTTGTCATCGTTTTTTACAGGTCTCAATGGATGGCTCCTCTTTAAACTAGAAGATCCTGAGAATTTTGGAGGATCAGGTGGTTAAAGGTTACAAATGTAAGTTTTTGGAACTGGGAAGCTGTGATCTTCACATTGTCCATGGAGCTTTCATGACTGGGGCAAAGTGTACTGATTGTAACAGTGATAACTTTTGAGAAATATGTATACATTATTTAAAAACACCCCTGCAAAGAGGGAGGATTACACAAAGATAACATCATCCATTACATTCCCAAAGGAGTATTGTGCTCATTGTTGGCTGGAGAACACTCCAGTTATTGAAATGGCACTTGAAGTGCTACCCAACATGAAAATGTTTGTTGAAGCTGTGAAAAAAAGTGTCAATGATCCCAAAACAAAATCATTTGAAAATGTGAGAAGTAATTTTGCTAATCCTTTATTAAAAGCAAAATTGAATTTTTTTCTGATCAGTATCAAACCAGGTGACCCCCCCCCCTTTTAGCAAAAATTTCAGACAGACCAACCCATGGTGCCTATTGATTTGACAGTATTAATTAGGACTTTGATTAAAAGAGTAGTTGACATTAAAAGTGAATTAACTGCTGTGGAACTAATGAATGTTGATCTGGAGGACTGTACAGATGCAAGTGTTAAATTGAAAAGTTACGGGAAAGTGGATGTGGGAGTTTCAGCTGAAAATCATTTGAAAATTGCCAAGTAAAAGAAGAAACTCAGTGAAAAAGCTGTGATGGAATTCAAAATGTTTGCCAGGGCTATGATCATTAAGGCTGTTTGTAAAATGCAGGAAAAATTCCCCTTGAGATACAGAATTGTGAGAAACATGAGCTGCTTAGATCCAAGGGAAATAGCAACATCACCTGACATTTGTGTGAAAAGTTTAAAGAGAATTTTGAAGTTGCTGCTAGAAGCATGGAGAGTTAAAGACAGCAACTGTTAACAAATCATATGGCAGTTTCAAGACTTCCTTACCAAGGTAGTCAATAAAAAGAAATAAGATTCAAATTCTATCAACCACAAGAAGTGAGAGTTGATAGTTTCTTGAAGCATCACTTACAGTTATCTCCTGACTGTCATCAACTATGGAATGTTTTTTAAATGTTACAGTGCTTGTTCCATGGTCAGACATATGTGGAGAGGGGATTTTCATTCAACAAGGAATGCATGAGTAACAACTTAGAAGCAAAGTCTGTAATTGCCAGGAGGATTATAGTTGACTACACCAGTGAGGTGCTGAAAAAGTGGTCTTATCCAAAGAGTTAATGTCAGGCAGAGCTGCAAGACAGTAGTACCATAGTTACCCCACTGAGCAGAAAGAAAGAGCAGTGCAGAGGATAGCAAAAAAGAAAACTAGATCACGTAAAAGAAGAATTATTGAAAAAAGGAAAAGATGGAAAAGGAATATGAAAAAATTCAATGGGTTCTGGAGGATATAAAACAATACACATCCATTTCCCCATTTGTCCCCTAGCTCATCTGACAGATCATATTACATGGAAAATATTTATAATGATATATGATTTTCAGTACTGTAAAATAAAGTCAGATGGATATAAAGTCATTCTTTTCTTTTTTTAGTCTACATTCATATGTTGAACAAATAAATAGGAATTTTATAAAATTTCAGTGGAATCCAGTTGATTTTGAGATTGCTTAGAAAGTCCTTGAAAAGTGCTTGAAAATGATCTGAGCAATTCATTATGAACCATGCTTTTTGCAGAACCTCTTATCCTTCTTCCTTGCTTCTGGAAAATGTGTCTGGAAAATTTTGCCTTGCCATGAATGAGCTTTTGGTATACACAAAGCATTCAAGGGGAATACTGTGCATGGAGGATGTGTCACCTTCCAGTGAGTTGTGGGGGTATAATCTAATGCTGATTTCATCATAGACTGGGGAAATACATGTTATTATGTGTAAAGGTGGGATTTTATTTAAAGGCTTATCATTGTGCAGAAACTTTGCAGCAGTGTTGCAAGCTATTTGGTGTCTGTTCTGTTGAGAGGTGAGTATTTATATCAGATACTTTAGCTTAAAAGATTATCTTCTGTAGCAAAACAAAATAATTCTTTATTTTTTAACCATTTTAGCTTTTGCTTGGGCTGGCACTACACTTGCTGTGATTGGGAAAAGTCAGATTGCAGTGTCTTTTGCTGTGGTTTATGTATATTCTGCTGAAATATTTCCAACAGTTGTCAGGAATGCTGGTATAGGATTTAGCAGCATGTGTTCCAGGCTAGGGGGAATCCTTGCACCAATAGTAGCTAACTTGGTAAGTATGCTTAAGTTACAATATTATAGTTAACCTGATAAATATTGTTTTATAAAGCTAACTTAACAGTATATTTAAGAATGTTAATAAATACAATAAGAACAATTTTTCCAGTAGGCATGTTCTAATTTTAATTATTACAATCTTTCAACTCATAATTTGAGTCACCATCAGATAAAAGTTACATTTAAAAAAGCAGTTTAATTTCAGAGGACATTATAGGCTTGTGATGGTGAGTAAAAGTTTGTAGATGATGTTAAATTAACTTGTTAGAAAAATGAGGTGGATAAAGGGTGTTCCTTGATATTTATTTTGTGTTGGCTTTGATGACTTTATCCTTCTCTTGATGTCTAGTTTTCTTCAGATGATCTCATCATTATTTTGAGTGATAATTTTTTTTTTTGAGATGTTGAAAAACATGCAAGGATCCTTTAAAATGTTCCTTAAGTCTGAGGCTCATTCCTCTCTTGTTTTCTTCAGTATAAGTATTTACATGAATTGAATTTTGTAAATGACTGTTGTTTTTCTTATGTAAGCCTTAAAATACAGCCATCTCCAAACCCTTATTTTGGTTGAGATATTATGATGATGTTTTGTGCAGCTTCATCTCTGATGACGTAAAAGAAAGATTTTCAAACCACAGAAAAGTATAAAACCTCTGAACAGTACCTTAACTGGAAATCTGCACTCTCCATACAACAAAAACTAGGAATCTTAAAGTTTATTTTGCAAATATTATTTAATATATATTCTACAAACAATTTAGAAGATAAACTGCAAAGAATTTGAAACATTAATACAAAAACTATCTGGCTGAAGTTGTTAAAAAATTATTAACATATCCAAAAAAATATCAAACAAATAAAAAATACAAATGTTAAAGATGAAAACAATTTCAACTTTATCAGTAGCTCATTTTTTTATGTTGAGCACATCAACAAAAGCCTGATTCAATTATGAAAATGACTTGTGAAGAAGCATCACATCAACATGAATACCATAAACATACAAAAGCCAGGTATTTAAATCAAGAAACTTATTACTAACATTTACCCCACACAAAATATAAACAACAGGGTTATCTACAAAATCAAATGCAACTGTAACTCACGTAAACACTTGTTTTGGAAAAACCAGGAGAGAAATGAACCTCATACAATAGGAACATTATAAAGGACCCTCACATATTTTTGAACATCTCAAAAAAAACAAAATATATTATCACTTAAAATAATGTTGAAATCATCCAAAAAAAGAACCATACATCAACAGAAGAAAAATAATTGAAGCACTACTGATAAAGTCATCAAAACCAATGCTAAGTAAGTATCTAGGAGCCCCCTTTATATTTATTAATAATTTATCCACCTCATTTTACTAAAAACCTGAATTAGCACCACTTACAAACTTGTTCTCACCATCACAAGTCTGTGATATTCTTTGATTTTCAACTGCTTTTTTTTATGTAGCTTTCACCCAATGATAACCAAATATTATGGGTCAAAATGTTGTAATCATTAAAATCAGAATGTATCTACTTTAAAAGTTGCAGTTATTGTATTTTTGAATTAAGCAAATGTTAACTTACTTAATAAACAGTGTGGCTGCTTAAGATGTATAGTTAAAATAATCTGAATAAATTTAGCATTAAGTATGTAACAATGTATTTAATTAATCAAACATTCAGTGAAACCTTAGCTCCACTCATTTTACAGGCACCACTGAGTATGTGTCAAGACAACAAGTCTGCTAAAAATTAATTTTACAATCCAAGTAAATGGGTCTGAACCTTTGACAAATATACAGACATTATAAAACTAAAAAGCCACTGAAGTTTAGGTTCTTGATTAGAGTTAGTGAAATTAGATATTTTGGTTGATGGCAGCCTAAATGCATTCCTGTTTGAAGTTATATTGAGAAAATAAAGCAAAGTATCAAAACAAAAATGTTTTTTAAAAATAATGATATTATAATACTGTTGTTATATAAAAAAAAGAGTTGATTAAAAGTTGTTAAGATATCTCTTTGCCATCTTGTCAAGTTAGACTGATTAACCTAATTTAGTAGAAATTAATGAAATTTCTTCACAGATGGCTAGAAATTTGGGCCCACAATAATCAGCTTGAAAGTGCAGGGCCATTGTGTGTGATTATTAGAAAAGTTGTTGAAAAATTTACCAAACAGATAGCAAAGCATGAAATTCAATTCCTATGGTTGACATACAATGTTTTGGGCAGGTGCCCTTCCCCAATTAAAGGTCACTAATCAAGCACTGATTATATAAAAATTTCAGTGACAGTAGATATTTAATGATTTGGAGGAAAAAGTAAAAACCAGTAGAATTTTTGTAAATTTTAATGATTAAATACAGAGTTGAATTGTACACATTTGCAAAAAAGATATGCAAAAAGAACCACACTAGATATGGGCTAGTAGTTATGGAAAATCACAATAGCCTAACTTTAAAGTTTGGTAGTTTCTGACATCAGGTTATAGATATGTCTGATCCAATATTTTGTTTTTACATGATATGTGTAAAACAGTAGTTTAACAGTTTCTAACTTGTGATAATTGTATTTGATAATGAAATATTCTGCTTAACCTAATACAGGGCACATTCTACGAACCTCTTCCAATGTTAATCTTTGGGGGGACAGCTCTAACATCAGGACTCCTGACATTGTTTCTTCCAGAAACTCGTGACCAGGATCTGCCTGAAACAATAGAAGATGCAGAAAATTTTGGAAGGTATAGTTTATTTGTCTTGTAGCATTGAAAATAGAAACTATTCATGAAGATGTTTCCAGTAAGCAAACAAACATTAGATAAAGTACTTATTATGAGAAACACCTTACTTTTTATATATGAACCAAAAGCATACACAATATCAGTACAAGAACATTAAAGACCTAATACTCAGAAGGTTCATAGGTGCATAATGGAAGTTCATATAATGCATAAAGTATTGAATTAATACAGAACTTCAATACACTTTCACAGTCACATTAAAACTTTTAATGAAAGAATTCTTAACTGAGGAAACTAATTTATGCATCAAATGTATATAACAACATTTATTATTTCTCACAAACAGAACTTCAGATTGAAAATTCAGTATTTTTTTTTATCATAATGACATCATTAGTATTATTTTTACAAAAACCTTTTTTTTAGTCTGTACAAATTTCTTTTTAATGCTCCTTATTATCACTTTTGTACCATTTCTTATTATATGATACAATACTGCTTTTGTACTGTGTGCTATATTCAGCTAATGACTCTCAGTTCATGGTGAGAAATTTCACACCTGATATCTCTCCTCTGTGAACTCATTCTACACCTTTCTGCAAACAAATGTTTTATGCAAAATAATGGTCCACTCTAATCAAACTTATTGGCAAATCATCATCTGTTATATTATACTACCTCTACTTGTCATTCAACTTATAACTTATTATTTTAAATAGTAACATGTAACATTTTCACTTGGTACTCTATATATTTACTTTTTGTGTTCTTTATTGTGCTGTAGAACGTTTGTTCTTTTGTGTATCATGCTTTTGTATAAGACTTGTCTATCATAGTGGAATCTGCTTCTAGTCCTTACTTATGCATGTTTTGAACCTTTGACTACTTATCATGTTTTTTTTTTGTTATTAATGGAAGACTTGTATTTCACTAAGCCCATCATTTTACACTTTATGGATTTGTGTCTTGCTTATTGTAAACTTATCACACCTTTGTCACTTGTCAATTCATTTACTTATATCTGGGTTAATCTTTTCTTCCATCTTGACTTGCAGTGGAGAGCTCTCTTTCCCATTATGTTATCTTACCTTCTTAGAGATGACCTTTCCAACCTGGATCATCTCATGTGTCCTGATTAGTCAGTGCTTTGCTACACAGTGTTTTTTTCATGTCTGGAGTCTTCATCATCTGAATTGTCAGTTATTTTCCTCTCATGGTAGATGAGTGTGCTTAATTATTTTGTATGTTTGTCAGCATATTTCCTAATGTTATTACCATGGGATAGGCCTATGAGTATGATGATAATGGACCACAATTATATGATATACATATATAAATTTTACATAAATAAACATTTGATGCACAATTATGCAAAGAGGATGTGATGAGTTGGAAATGGGTAAATAAGGTCATGAACATGAAGTCATTACTTTGATTTTATAATAGAGAAAAGTATGTCTTTGAAGGTTATTTCAATTCTAAAATGTTAACTTTAAAATTTTTAGTGTCTTCACTGAGCACCCGGAAACTCTGTTACCCACCAATCACGACTGTTACCTGGTTCTAAATTTACTACTTTGCAAGGCTTAAGTCAAAATAAATTAAATTTAAGAGAAAATGGTAAATAAAAATCAGAAACAAGCAACAAATTTATGACAAGAGATTGAAAATGAAAGTGGAAGCAATCATAGTGACACTCAAATTAAATTCTAGTTGTGGGCCAACGACATTGATTTTTAAGTTTAATAGTGAACAAAAATTCTTGAGTATCTTATAAACCAAGTTATTCAACCATTTATTATACTTTCAAAACTTGCTGATACCATACTAACTTTTACCTCTTTCGCTGACAGTAATAATTATAGGAGACAAAGAATCAATTAAGTAAGCAGCAAATTTTGAATAGTTCATTTTAAATTTTGCTTTGTTAAATGACTATTGGCTGATTCACTACATGTTCGTGGTTACTGCCATTTTGTAGCAGGGCACAAACGACATTATAGGACAGAAATGAGGCTTATCACTCATAGGAAACTTTCAAACTTGATGACTGTGTGATTTGTAATAGTAAATACTGTAAATATGATCTTCCAAAAGTTTCTATATTTTTGTATAACTAGTTTAACTTGTTTCAACTGTAGCTAGCTGCTTTTCATCATAATTCAAGGTATTAGAATGTGGCGATTGTTGCCGTAGAGTCATTATTTCATTTCACTCCAATTTAAGTGAGAAACTCGCACACTAATATTAATGTGGAATTATCAAAGTTCTATCTTTGGAATATTTGAGGTAAACTCTGCTCATAGATTGTGCTAATTTTTCTGATAGAGCAGGTGCACTCAGCAGACTTATAATCTCTCGGTGTGTGTTATAATGACAGGCAGCTGTAGATGGCATAATGTCTGTACTTACAACCTAAGTGTCTTCATCATGCAAAAATATTGCCTGCACAGTGCAGTTATTGTGTAATGACAGTCAGTCAGGGTGAACCATTAAAGATTACTTTTTTCGTTACCAATATCAATAAGTTAATAGTATCCAATCAAAAAAAGTTGGAAATTTTATACTTCAGTATTATATTCATGACCACTAAATCAGTGCTTATTACTAATTGGTAAAAAGTTAAAAAAATGGAGAGATGTTTGTTTGAATTTCTTTCAGTACTTCGTGGAGAATAGTGAGAACACATACAGTAGCCTATACTTTGCAAGCCAATGTTGTAGTATACACGATGGCCACAAAAAGTTTCTTGGTTAACATCGTTTTCATCTTTCATTAATAATTATATCATTTACTGTTTTCTTTTACTTCTCCATACAAACTTTTTATTATTGGTAAAATTAATTATGCTTTTGCTAGGAAAATGAAGACAACTGTGTAACTTCGTGGTTTATATTGCAATGTCTTCTGCATTGTTAGAAACTGTTGTGTTGATAGTGGTCGGAAATTTTCAGGCAAACGGATACCCACCTGAATTATCCTTGCGGGTAGGATTTTTGATACCCATTCAAACACTAAAATTTTTATATAATTCTTTTTCAACTCAGGCTTGTTTAATCCATAAAAGTATTCAAACAACATTTAGGTTTATGTTATAACAAGCAGAGGTACCCATCCTTTGTCCAGGTTATGAAATTTAAAAAAATATGGGGATGGATGCAATGATAAATAACACAAAAATCCCAACTTTCATACAATTTATTTATAACATAAAATATCATTACAATATTCATTATTACCTCTCCGAAAGTTTTATATAAGCTTTAAGAACTCAATATGTATCTACTTAAAACATGGTATACACTATGGGTTGGTCAGGGCAATTTTGTATGAAGAGGTAGTGGCCAAAGTAGTGGTGGTAGGTGTGCTTTCTGTTACCAGCTTTCAACAGCAAACTCTTAAATGTTTTTCCACACTGCTTCACTTTATTAATTAATTGACAGTCATTGGTCTCATAAGTGTCTTATGGGATGAAGTTGTAAGAAACGACTCTTCATATCAGCATTAAGGTGGCTGTTGTAGTATCAACTTCAATTGAGTTTATGTATTATTGCAATAGCAGCAGCCATTTGCTTTCCTTGCATTCCTCCATAGAGAGTGCTAGTGCACTCTCTGAGATATACAAGACATTTGTGTGCCCCCCCCCCTCCACACACACACACATTATGTACATGATGTGTTATAGAAAAGTCAATGTGCATGTGTTTTTTTATAGCAAAGTCACATCTGGCTATCTGCTGTCCCACTGGGGGATGGAAAATTTAATAATTTTTTTTATTTTGTTTGGTGTAAGAACATGGTGTTATCTATGAATGTAGTTAATGATAATTTGCATCAAAGATAATGAATGTTCTATAATATCCTACAAAATTTGGTTGAGATTAGCCCAGCATTAGTGTAACCTTAGATGTATTCTTGGTTGGACTTTTTAAGAAATTAACATACAACAAAACATTAAACTTGAACAAATGTATAACAAACATGTTTTTATGAGGTCACTATAGTTTTATTGAGTTGCATTATTTGTAAACTTTAATTGTTTTTTTTATTGTGTTCAGCAAACAAAATAAAGTTATCATCAAATCAGATAAGCTTAATGCTTAGCAAGTATGTTAGGCAACTGCAAAATATTCTAGTGACTGAAATCTTTATTGAATATTATTTCTCTTTACCCTACTTAAACAACCCACATACATTTGCTAAGTGATTACTTAATTATTTCCAATTGCAATCATTATAGGTTGTAAATAAAAAAAACATTATTACCCATATTGCTCATTGTAAAATATGTTTTCTTTAATTATTAGTTTATTAGATTTACAGAAAATAAGTGTGGGAATACTATATATTTTTAAAACAAACATAATGGTGACTGTGTGGTGGTATTTAGATGACATTAATGATTCATTCACTAAGTGGAAAATGTCTAGATCAGGGGTTCCCAAACTTTTTAGAATTGCGACCCACTATTCATGACCACAGCTTATGGTGACCCACTCAAATTTACTTGGCAAAAACATATGAAAGAATATAAAAAAATATTATTTATTCATATTCACATATTTCAATTACATTTAAAAATACTCGCGTATTTTCAATAACATTTCCAGAACTTATAAATGCTATCTAATTGATTAATAATGAGGTGTGTGTGAAGGATGTGCTTGTTTCTTG